TTTACGCAACACAAGACCGAGGTTTCAACCGCGGCGGGAAAATCCTTGCAGGGAAAGTTGAAAAACAACGCCGCAAAGGCCCACACAGATTGACGTGCCTCGGCGTCCATTTCCTCTGTCTGGTATGACCAAGCCCGGGAAGTGTCCCAAACCTCAGCAGAGATGGGTGGTTCAAAGATTTGGTGAAAACAGCAGATAACAACTGACAACGTGAACAGCGTCCATGGGGGGCCGACAGGACAGCAAACCTTGGTGGAAATTCGGCGTCAAACCCTTTCACGGCGGATAACTGACTCGATTTTCGAAAATCTTGGGCTGAGGAACAGGGATCAGGAAGAAAGTCATTGAAGACGATGAAGCAAAAGTAGACAAAAAAAAAGCCTTAGCATCGCTTCGAAATTGTTCGGTTTAAACACACTCTTGGTCGAGTAGAATTGCTCTTATGGCTGAGGTGTCTGCGTAGGTCTATGTCTTACACACCGACCGTGCTAACCGCTGTGAGCCAAAGGATGCGAAGACTCGGATGCAAGCGATACCCGAAGTTCACGGCGGTCAAAAACTAGAAGCCTAGCCACTTGTGACTGCGCGATTGAGTCTGAAACGTGAGATCGTGTCCACTCTACACCCCAATTACCTCCTGAGCCTTTACAACAACATCACAAACAGAATCCAAGTGCGCCAAAGAAGTCGACTTGTCCACAAAGTTACAACTGCTACTTACGATCTCTCAGGGGCAGGATCCGAAGTAACATCAATGGAGTTTATTCACAATTTCGAGAAGCGGACGTCAGTGGCTTGGATTGAAGTGTTGAAGTTCCCAGGCAGCTTCTGGCAAGCCTGTCATGTCTCCAGTCACACAAAGGGATGTGAAATCTAATGGGTGTAGGGGTTGTATATTTTGAGAGGCTACAACAGCTGCACCTTGCGTGACGCGGAAACAAAAAGCACAGGAAGCACAGATCCGCGGGATAAATATTTACGACCAAACGAATTCCTATATTTTAATATTCTATTTTGGTTTTTATATATTACTAAAATATCTATGGCGAAGAATAAATTAACATTTTTTCGGAAACCATATATCAAAAATGCAATATAATAGAAATATTTCTATACACCAATGATATTTTATTTTGTAGTTTTTGTAAATATATATATATGAAAATCGAAAAAATATATTAAATATAATTTAGTTATTTACGACCAAACGAATTCCTATATTTCAATATTCTATTTTGGTTACATTGTCAAAATATTTATAGCAAATAATGAATCAGTATTTTTTCGGAAACCATTTTTCAATAACGCAATGTAATAAAATATTTCTATAAACCAATTATATTTAAGATTATATGTAATATTGGTAAATACATATATATAAATTGAAAGCCATAAGAAATATAAATATTATATATAGAATGTAGGTGTATATATATTATTTACAAGTAAACTAGTATATTCCATATTTATAACTAGAACATAATTGAGGAATAGTTATTTAATGTAATGTAGCGATAATTAAATATCAAAAAAACGAATAATATAGATATTTATATAAACCAAATCTAAAATTACAATATTGATAAATATATAGAGTTTATAACTTAATTCATATTTATATATATTATTTGCAAATAAATAAATGTATAGTATGTCAAAATTACTTTATATAAATGTCAATAACGAAATCTATTTATATAGACCATAATCAATATTTTAAAATAAATATATAGATATATCATTCAAATATTCTATTTATATATTTTATAGCTTTAAGATCACTATTTAATATTTTTATTATGAAATATATCTATATATTCATTTAAATATATTTGCTAATGATGAAATAAATTCGATATTTTTAAACAATAACATTTTTAAAAACCTATATAAATATGTAATACATATATTTTTAATAAATATAATTCTATATTATACTATGTTTAATGGAGGTTTCAAAATATTCAAATATAAATATATATTTAGGCTAGGCCAAGCATTCTTTTCAGAAAAAATATATCAAATAATAATTCCTTAGATTTACTATTCTTTTACAATTCTTCATTCGATATTAATTCATCATCAACATCCAGATATTTGGTCCCACGAACTTATCTCATTTGATATAGTTTCGTTTTTCTTGATTGTTTTTTGTTTTCATGGTTTTATTATATTTGTATTTCCATGTCTGTCTGTTCGTATCAATCTCTCGTTTCAGCAAGTCCACTGAATCATGTCATCACTATTAGGTAGCCGTCTCGTTAACTTGTAACTAGTAGTCACTAGGCTCACAATTTTAGGTTTCGCACTACACTCTTTTTCTGGACGGCCGTGAAACGTGTGGTCTTTGCCATTCAGTGAAGTCATCACCGAATGGCCCTGAACTGTAGATCCAACGGTAGGATCAAATTTGATCTCTCAAGATCTCTATGAACCGAAACGGCCGCCACGAGTGTGTACTCAACCTAACCGTCTCAACAAGACTTTATTTCCCGCTCTACGTACTTCCTATTCTCGATGACTTTGATTGTCATCTGAATCACCAACCTTTAAAATGCATTTTACACCATCGAAAGATATCTTGTTGTTACGCTTTCGAAAATATCTATATATTCTATTTAGATTATTAATTTTGAAACTAGGGCCAGCGCCAAGCAAGATGATGAGAGTATGGTCTAAGGCCGGCGCGCGGTGAACCCCAGTTGGCTCGGGGTGGGATCAATGGGTACCTACGGACCTCGCCAGGACAGACTTTGACGAGCAGTGAGTGGATGAGCAAAGCGGACAGGTTCAATGGTAGGATCAGCGACGAAAAGGGAATTGTTGCAGCAGCGGGGGTCAGGCAGCAGCGGCTGACGGGAGACATTCACTTCAAGACAAGGGAAGCATTCTCAGCGAAGAAGCACAAGGCCAGCGGACTGTATGAGAAGAAGACAACTTTGGCTTGGTCCGCTACCCCCACGTGTTTCCCTGGTAGCCCATGGGCTATGCTCCCTCCGGGCACTTGCCAACCGGAGTAAATCACCGCATCACGACACAGGGTTTCCCCCGTCCCCCCCTGCCGCGCGCCGAAGGGAGCGTGTAACGCCCACACAGGTCAGCAGCCCGCGTCCAGGCCGATTGCGGGTGTTTTACCTCCTGTACCTCGCTTTTCGATTGCGCATTGTTTGTTTTTAAATTTGATGAGGTTGATCAGAGCTTTCATCCCTTGATGTATAGTGGGCCCCAATGAACATTCGAAAAGCACGTAATTATCTAACCAAGCGAAACTTCCGAGTGATGGCCAGATATCACACATTGCTGTATCAATGATTTGCGTCGGTATCGACATCGCTAATTGTTCGGCCACAAGAGAAGACAGGAGAAGAGCAGGACAAGAGAAGACAAGAGGAGAGCAATAACCGATCACAGATCCCGGCCACAGAGCGCGGTCACAGATCCCGGCCACAGAGCTCAGAGGCGGGGCCAATGAGTGTGGCCAGCTTTTTTTCTTAAGAGAGAACCCCAATAGTAAATTGTTTCGGAAAATCTTTTTTTCTAGCTGCAACGCATACAATTACACGTGGCATGTTGATAGAAGTGCTATGTTTATGTACAATAATTTGTTCGCCACATATCCCGGCCACAGTTCAGAGGCGCGGCCAATCAGTGTGGCCATCTTTTCTATGATAGAACACCAACAGTAAACTCTTTAAGGAACAAGAGGAGGACAAGACCCGGACACAGAACCGGGCCACATACCCCGGCCACAGAGCCCAGCCACAGAGTTCACTGTGGCCAGCCAGCTCTTTCTTTTCGGAGATAGAACCCCAACAGTAAACTGTTTGTGGAAAAAGTTCCTATGTTCTAGTTGCTATCCATACCATTACACGTGGAATTGCTCATGGAAATTTCCAAATTGCCATAAATTTATGTGCAGTCAGAAACGATTTCTTGGTATGCACTACCTGGCAAACTGCTTTCTCAGTAAATTACTTTATCAATGATGTTTGTCGACATCGACGTCCCTGACTGTTCGGCCAAGAGAAGACAAGAGAAGAGCATGACAAGAGAAAACAAGAGGAGGACAAGACCCGACTCGGTCACAGGACCCAGCCACAGAGCACGGCTACAGATTCCGGCCACAGATTTCAGGGTGCGCCCAATCAGCAAATTGCTTTATCAATAAATTCCTTGTTCAATGATTTGTCGAGATCGACATCCCTGATTGCCCACAAGAGAAGACAGGAGAAGAGCATGACAAGAGAAGACAGGTTCTCCAGGTCTAGCAGTAGCGTGGAGTCCCATCGCTCCCTCCACGCTCGCCATGCGCTCGCCATGCGCCGCGCTCTCGCCGTGTGAGGGTGAACACCGAGGGGTGTCCGGTTTTGGAGCGACGAAGGTGGGGGAGTCCTCCAGGAGTTCCAAGGAGAGGGGTGCCGGTTCCGAACGGAAGTCAGGGCGACTCATTGGCCCCGCCTCTGAACTCTGTGACCGCGCTCTGTGGCCGGGATCTGTGATCGGTTATTGCTCTCCTCTTGTCTTCTCTTGTCCTGCTCTTCTCCTGTCTTCTCTTGCGGCCGAACAATTAGCGATGTCGCCGCGCTCTGTGGCTGGCCCCTGACCATGTTCTGAATACCCCACAGGGGATTGATGGGGATTGTCCACTTCAATGTTGCTTGGCCAGAGGGCCAGTCATGAGATCTTCACCTGATAGGCACTCGAACGCCCCAGACTACTTGAGGGAACCATTGGCGAGTGACAACATCTTTCTCTGACTGCATCTCTCATGCTAAACCATGCTCAACCGCCAATGACTTCCCCCTCTTTTGAAAAAGGCCTCCCTTTACTAGGGCATCTTAGCATCTCCTCCATGAAAACCCAAGCGGCTAGCAGCTGCTAGCAGCTAGCATCTGCTAGCTGTGCTGAGAAGCCCAACCAAAAAACAGCACGTGGTCCTATCGAAACGACGTTGTGAAGCCCCCACGCCTTCACCTTCTGCCCCCCTTCACCGAAGCCACGCGAATGCAAACCTCCAACACCGTCATGGCCGCAAGTGGTGCACCAGTCGCCTGGCGTCTGTCCGACGGAAGACTCCGGCGGTCTTCCGAACGCGGCGAACTGGGATAGAACTGGGATGAACGCGGGGCTCTTTCAATTTAGGCAACCGGTAAGAAGACTGACAGACACCTGCGTTCTTGCGTGGAAAACATCTAATTATAGGCCGGTAGACAATGATAGCACGTGATTGCAACTGCATGTGCCTCAAGAGCACAAGCAAGTGCTGACGCACTCATCCTATCTTAGTTTTCAATTCATTGGGGTTCTTGGCAAGATGTGTCGCCAATCTTTCATTGTCGCCTCAACAGGGGGCGTTTGAGTTGATTGAAACCTACTCTACGTAGGCATCCTTTCCGGCATCCTTTGCATCCTTACACCATCCGACCAGGGTTCGGCATGGGTTCGGCAGCACTGCGGACACTCGACTGTCCCGGACCGGATCCTTTTCTTCGTTCGAACGACGACGCCAACAAGGCGCCCAAACAAACAGCACGAAGTTGGAGAATTCCTCAAAGGACCCGGGCCCAAACCTTGGCAAGCTGGGCAGCAGCTGGGCAGCAGCTGGGCAAGCTGGGCGGTAGGAGGTAGGTTGCAGTCATGCGTGCTCCGTCTTCAGCGATCAGAGGATCTGGAGGTAGGAGTGATGAGTTTTGTGTCCCAACCATCAGATATGCGTCTTTGGGTGCTCTTTTGGGGGTGCCTTCTTCGAAATACAGACATGAAAGCTTTGACAACTCCAGATGCCATGTCGGACCCTGTGATCAAGACGCGATGATATGTAGCTGCAGCAATGATATGGGAAACGCCACTATGCTGTACGGTATAACTTAATGACCACGATATGAGGCCCCCCAAACAAAGGCATCCTCGAGCCGTTCCCTTCGGCAGATCCCGGTCGAAACGTCGCGGTCGCGGGTCGCGAACCGCGGGGGGGGCAGCGTTCAGGTCTGAAGCGCTGGGAGGTTGGCATACGATGCGTGAGACGGCATGCTGCGGCCACCATCCCGTTCTAAGGAACCATGTTGATTGGATGGAGCGCGTGGAGAGCACCATCCCTCAGTCCCCCAAGAGCGTGGTGGTTTAGATAGACCCCGCGCGCGCGCGAAACCGCTGTAAAAATGCATTCCAAGGCACATGTAGACGCTACAATGCCCTAGCGTCAAAATCCAGAAAAGACCTGCCCACACTGGGGGGCTGGTCTACAAGCATTGCATTGTCAAGTCGTAGCAAGTTGGAGCAGACTTCTGAACACACCAAAAGGCTCACAAGCCCAAACCAGCACAATGCACTGGCCCTCCCCCAAACTCTGGCCTTGGGAGATTCTGGAGGTAATCCATTGCATGGCATTCCGCCGCTGACTGGGCGCATTGGCTGTGGTGCTCGAGATGGTGCTGGCACGCAGCGGCTGCGGGTGCCCAGCTCCGCTCGTCACGCTGGCGCGAATGCTCGGGCGCACGGCCGTCATCGACAGGGACTGCGTCATCGAGCCGGAGAGGCTCCCTCGCAGCATGGCGGGCACGGGCTCCCCCGGGCAGAACCCGGCGCGCGACGGTCTGCATGTTGGGCGGGAAAAAGGCTGCGGAGGTGGTTTGAAGCATCGAACGGATTGGAACTGGGAAAGGCCTAAACTGAAAGCATGGTCTCATGGTCTGATCAGCCGGAGGCTGGAGGTTAGCACCACGTCAAAAAGGTGTCGGTGGAATTTATGACGGGGGAGTCGTCTGCAACTCTGCTGAGTTAAACAGGTTTCTCAGAAATTATCTGGCCCAGAACCTGCAAGGCCTTGGTCATTCTCTGGCCTTGGTAGCCCAGACCATCCATGGGACTGGAATGGTTGCCTACATGGATGGGTTGTTTTATCATGGCGTCAATGTATCTGATCGTTCGTGTTTCCCATGGATGATCTGGGTAGGGTCATCATACCAGCATGCAAAGATTGGCCCTTGAAGGCGTGCAAGGCCTGCCTCGTGAGCATCGCACGCATGTAGGAGATCACCTCCCTTCTTTCTTCTTGTGCTTTTTGCCCTAGGTTGCTGCAATACTCCACCTGAGACAAGCCCCCAAGAGCCACAAAGATTTGCATGTTGATTGACTGGAGGCAAGCTAAGGCAGCTAAGGGTCAGCTGGAGCAGCGTTTAATCTGATGTATCTTCAAGACCCACTTTAGCAAAGGTGAAGCCCCAAGGCCCCAAGTGCTGAATCATGTCTGCGGGTTCTTTGGGACCCCAAACGCCATGGTGGCTCAGCTCAATTGAGGTCAAAACCTGCTTCAGCAAGTTGAGTGGGTGTGCCACATCGGGGTCTAGGACGATTCCGACCGCCCGCGATCGTCTCAACGTGCTGGGCTCGCTACATCGACCCGTCTACCCGGTCAGAGGCCTAGATCTCGAGGGTCTCAGCAGAGGTTGAAGAACCCAAACTAGACTATCCTATTGGTACCCCTGTAAAATCCTAGTTCAGGTCACTTAACCTCTGTAGGTCACTTAACCTCTGTCCGTCTTTCTTCAGTCCCCTGCGCAGAGCCGTGCTTGGACCGAGCGAGACAGGAGGCCCCAGGGGTAGTGAGGGGGTTGAAGACCTCAAAAACTGGCCTCCCTGGGCATCGGATAGCAGTTAGCTCTTCCCCTGCCAGGTAGCTTGCAGACCGTTTCATCGTTCACTTCGCACATGCAAACCCAAAGCGGGGAAACCGATGCGCCCCGATACATGCATCAAGCCTTCCCTTGCTGCCCAGGTCAGAACCCTCGGACCACATGTTGCACAAGTGAAGCTCAGGCACCACAATGTTGCGGATCTCTTCCAGCTTCACTCCTTTCACATCCATCAGCTTACCAATCCTCAGCTGCTTCGCAAGGAACAAATCCTCCCGTGAGCCAGGCGCTGGGCTCGCCGAGGCTGAACAAGGCTTTTGAGTCGGGCAGAATGGCCCCCGCCTCACCGAAACACCGATTTTCACTCGAGTCTACAAGCACCTGTGTGTTCTGAAGCAAGAAGCTACGTTCGTTCGTAGCTCCTGGCATTACCACTAGTAACACGAAGCTACGAACGTAACAAGGGCATCACTACCAGAAGCGAGCACGCTGCGAGACCGGCTACGTGCTCGCTTCTACGCACCGCGACTCATCATACGAACCCTAGCGCCGTTGCCCCCGCGAGCTACCTCTACCAAGGAGCTCTTCACTGGCCTGCCGGTTGCCCATGTTCACCTGGCACTCCGAGACGGGGCGAGCGGGCGAGCACTGGAGCCCCTCGAAACTATAGGGATCTTTCTGAAAGTGGCAGGCCCCCACTTTAGACCCTTCATGGATCAACATGCTGCAAGTTCTTCTTCTGCCTGAAGCATCTGAAGCGAAATCTCTGTCTGAGTCTTTGGTATCGGGAAAAGGGGTCGAGGCCAAAAGGGTTTGGTCTCGAAGCGGCCCCAGACAGATCTTCTTACGCCGTGAATACATGTGAAGAAGGCTGATCTACTACCCCCGCACCAGCATGTTCAGCTTCTAGATTCATATGGTTTATGCTACTCAACCCCAAGAGAACCGGAAGGGCATTGAAGAACTCCTCAATGAGCCGTACTCATGTTAATGTAGACTCTTGATGAATAAAACCCCCCATTTGGATCGCAAAACCTCTTGCGAGGGGTTGATTCAGTGACAGTGGTTTCAGAGTAGCTGACACCCCAAGATGTCTTTTGGATGCACATCCATGTCAACCACAGAACTTGGGCATTCTGCTCTCAATCCACTTATGATACACTAAAATTTACGTAAAACGGACTGTACTATATATAGAAATCAAGAGATCTACACTCCTTGAAAAAACCCATGGTTACGTGGACGCTCTGGCCCCTTGGACAACGATGACAACGGGGGTGAACTCCACTTCCCATGATTGTTCCCATACACTCCATGTATGCCGTATATGCCTACATTGATCCCCCAAAACCACCCCAACTGAGTGGCATATATGGCAGTCCCACGGAGTGTCTGGGGTTGGGGACCTACATGATCGAGATCTCTGGGTGATCCTCTCCATCGCCGTTCATCTGCACCACGCGGTCCGGTGGGGCGTACCAGGCGCACGAGGATCAAGTCCACCTGCTGCAAGGTGAAAAGGCCGGCATCGCAGCGATCTAAAAAGAGCTGCTCCTGGGCCGAAGAGCTAAGAGCTGAAGTTGGATCACATGAATCCAACTTCTTCAGGTCTCTCTGCAGAGAGGTTCAGTATGGTTGTGACCTGAACTAGGACCCGGAAAACCTGGGGTACCCAACAGGGCTAGTCAAACTACAGTAATTAGGCTTCTTCCACCTCTGTTTGGAGCACGTCTCAGAACTTCAGGTCTCAGTGAGTTGCCTTGGCACCTCCATGTTGATTCATCATGGGCTGATGGGATTGGATAGAATTTGGAGTCAGAAAAGGGTTGACTCCATCAATTGGAGCCAATTTCCATGGATTGATGATCCACCAATCTTCGTCCGAGGTGTCAAATCTTCGTCCACCCGGCGCCGCCGTGGCCAGGTCAAGCAGGGCATTGACCTGTGGTCGAGTGCACCGGTGGTTTCTCGTCCCAAGAAATCAAAAGTAAAAACGGTTCAAAGGTTGAGAGACCGGAAAGGACCCTGAACTAGGACATAGGACCGTGGTACATATGGGATGGGCATTAAAGGGCTGTTGAAACCTCTCTTGGAAGGGTGTTCACACCACTTCCGAACGACCTCCAGAAAACCAATGAAAACCAACAAACAATTGCCTCCCCTTCCCCCCCCCCCCCCACGAGCTTGTCGGCCCCCCCTGCCCCGGTCCTCTTCATTCACCTCCAGCCTCAGCGAAGGGCTGATCCGCAAACAAGTGACGCTCGCTCCAGAGCAGTCGTGTCGGAAAGGAGAAGAGAAGGGCCGAAGGGCTGAAAGGGTGGGCTTTCCTTCGGCCTCCTTTTCTTGGAGCCCTTTCACGGAAGGGATCAGGTCCACTGGCTTTCTTGACCTGCCCTGGTCAAGTCCCAGGTCCAGGTTGATCGACCACATCCTGTGCCCTGACTTTTGTGTCTATCCTTGGCTGGCGTGTCCACGCTTCTCCATCCCACCGCGATTTTTTTGTCTCCTATTCTTGGACCCTATATATAGTGGTCCCCAAATAGGTAGAAAAGTCCACTACAAATCCTGAAAAGTAAAGTCGCTGGAGTGCCACCAAGCCTGCTAGGCAAAGCCTGGTGGCTTCAACTCACGAACCAAGTCTAGATGAGTCAGTCGGATCTATCGTCCCAAGTAAAGGTTGAACATAAACATATCTGAAGCATTCGGGTCCACAACCACCCACGAACCACGTGGACGCCCATCGCCCGGAGCCTGCAAAAGCGAAGGTGCACAGCGGAAGATCGTGTTGCTGAAAACTGCTCCTCCCATGCTCCCAACTACGTCTTGCCAGGTACCAGGACCATCCTGTCGGGGTGCCCTGTCCCTATCATTCGGTCGTTTGGGGTCCATTGGACACCCAGACAGGATGGTCCTGGTAGGTTTGTTGTTCTTGTCGTCTTTCTTTCGGACTTGCGCCCAAGAGACCAGGACCTTGGTGAGACGATGCCTCAACCGCCAGAACAGCGACCCCGACCAGCGACGCGACCCCGCCACACCTGACGCTGGTGCCCAATCTGCAAACGGCCACGATTCGATCCCTATCCAACCTGCCCCAACAGACTTCATTCAGGCGTTCGTCATCCCTGCCATGACTTGGTGGTGAGCCTTACTAGCGTTCCCCCTGTCCGACCACGCACGCCCTAAACAACACCCCGGGTCCTCTGCCCAGCGGCTCTCGGTCAATGGTCGTGGCCAAGCCCTGGTCCCGCAACCGGTCCGCCTCCAGCACCGAGCGATGGTACTCCTGCACCAGCGAATTCGGCCATCAGACGGGACTGCAGGGATCAGAACTACCCAGACGCGACCCTGGACCCTCCGTTCAGTAGGGGCCGGACCCGAATCCTCTGGAGGGGTCCGGACCTTCTCACCAATCCCTAAGGTTTGGTTCGGGACCCGTCGAGCTGTTTTCACGGAGCGTCTCAGTCACCGCGAAAAAGGTGAACCCGAATCCATCCGAATGCTCCAGGTCAAAGGGTCGGAGGTCGAAACCTCCGACCCTTCAGGGTGAGGGTTCAAAGGTCGAACTGTGGGGACGACAGGGCTTGGAGCGGGCAGTACCAACCCCCCAGTGTTCCAGCGAAAAACAGGCAGAAGAACCCTAAACAAGACCTGCATCTGTTCGCCATGGGTTTTGGGGGATCCACTGACCCAAAAATCCCCCTCAGTTCTCGATCGGCTCTGGGCCAGGCTTTTCCGAGCTCCTCATGCATCTCCAGCAAGCGTTCCAACTTCTCAAAGTTGTTCTCCATGAACTTGTTCAGCACCTGGGCCACGCCCCCACACGATTCACCGATCCCTTCAATCAGAAACATGCCCACAATCTCTGCCGAATCTGCATGTCATGCGCGAAACCACCCCCCCGGGTTCCCCTGCCCGTGCCACCGGCGTTCCAGTGCAGTATCTACACAGCGACTGGACGATGGAAGTGACCTCGGGCTCCGCAGGATTCGGCCGGTTCGGAGGGCCGGGGGGCATCAAAGGAGACAAAAGAAACAGAAGAACATGGGTTGAATGGTTTACTGTTTTCAACATGGATTGTCAACATGGATTGTTGAAACATTGCACAATGGATGTGTTGAAATTGAAGCAGCTTTCATCGGGATTGGACTCTTTTCCGAAAAGCACCTGTGATGTTTGTAGTGCCCCCTTTTGAACATGCCTTTCCCTTTCCGGCTTGGGCACCCCTTCTGGAAGGGAAAGAAGCAACACCTGCATTGCTTTATGGACCTGTTCCCCGTCGGATCGAGTATGTGTCCGGGTTAATTATGTGTCCAATCCAGCTGCTGACGGAACTCATCCTGGGGAAGCGCCGCTTAAAAATAGTGACTCCTGAACGCACCATCACCATCCATCACCAACCAAGTGACCGAACTTTCCAGTCCCATCCATGCAGTGACCTGTAGTCCTTTTTCTGACCAAACCAACCAGGGGATCAAGTTCGGTCACTGGGAAGATCCAGGAACATACAAACGCATAAATCCAAACACCGTCAAACGCCCCTTTTCTTGAACTTCTAGCACTTCGCGCGCTGAAAAGCAGCGGTTCCGGTCTGGTGAAACCCGCTTCGTGGTGCGCGGTCGCTCGCGTGGAACACGCGACGCGGAGCGACTCGCGGAGAGGCTCCGCGGTGGCGCCGACTCGGGCCCGTAAAGGCGGTCACCGTTGGACACGCTGGAAACAGCCGATGGGGTCGGTCTCGGCAGTGGTTGTTGGAAAACCAGCGCGGGAAGTTTCCGGCGCGGTAAGACATCCTCAGTTTTAAGATTGAGCATGGGAATGGGACAAAGGATTCCAGATCAGCGGAGATCTATCATATCCTGGTATCCTATCATGCCATGCGTGGTGAGCGGGCTGTGGTGAGTATTGGAACTCGGAGCACTGCCAGATCGGCTGTGACAGGCAAGTGAGTCTGTTCATGCACAAGTCCTCAGCCTATTCAGGCGAAGAGTTGGGGGTTGGGATGTCGGCTATGTGTCAATGGGGTGACCAACAGGCCGGTGACCAACCTCTCCATCTGCTTTGCACTTGGAGGCCAACAAACCATCAAATTCCATCTGTATCTGGTGGTGATCCGGGGCTCGTAACTGGCCATGGAGAGGCTCTCCCTGCCTGCCCGACAGAGGTCACACCCAAAAACGAGGTGCTGATTCAACCACACGCTGCATTAAAATAGCATAGTATCATAGCGCTACTCATTCGCGCTTCAGCTCTACAATGTACTCAGGATACACCTGCCCCACGTCGAAGAGGATGTATTCCCGCGGCCCACGCTGGTTGGGATTGGCTAGGACACAAGAACAGCCTCTGCTCTTGGCCGGGCCGTCTGCCCCGGAGTCCCAATCCTTCTCCGTGTAATAGATGTGCCCGCAAGTGGCCCTGAATGGCAGGAAGTGAGCTGAAGAAAAGCTGCGCAAGGTTGCATATGGGATCTGGTCACTTGATCATTTGGATGTCTGCTTTCAGGTGTTGTGTCCCTCTGACGTTGCACGTTGTTGCGTCCAAAGGATGCACTGCGTTAAGAGGTTGGCAGTTAGACCGGATAGAAAAGTTGGATGTTTGTCCAACTTCAGTGAAGCAGGAAGACGGTTCCCAGTTCCTGATCTTCAAACGCTCAAACGCAAACCTCGGTCATTCAGTCATTCATTGGGTCTTTCTCAATGAGCCTGTGTCCGCCTTTGTCATCACCGGTCCTGCCTGCAAAGAAGGACGTAGTAGATCCCGTCCTGGGCAACCAGTCTCCAAGACCCAGGACTCGTGGGGCGAAGGAACTTGAACACTGTCCCGTCCCAAAGTATTGCGGTGTTCAAACCGCGGTCCTGGTGCTTCCTTCGGCTGCTTGCTCGGTGGTGGAAAGACAGTCCAAAACAAAAAAAATCCTTGCACGCCCCTACTTCAGTGGCCATCCGGAGCCGCCACTGATTCGATGTGTCACACGTGCCGAGCGTCGTCCGTCTTGCAATAGTCCAAGCTCTTGGTCAAATCCTCGGCCAAATACACGCCGTTCCCAAACCTGCGCCCATGGGCCGCTGAGGCGACCAAGAAGCCCTCCTGCGGTGCGGTGCGCACGTGGTGCGCGCGTGGGTGGGTGGGAGGTCGGTCGGAAGGACCTTCTAGGAAGTGCAGAAGATCTGAGGTTTGGTCTTAGAGAGAGGGAGCTTGATAGTATTTCTCTAGAACCTGTGCAAGGCAGGAGATCCAACTCCGGTTAGCTCCAGAGATCTCTGTGATTCGTGACATCTGGGTGACTACTTTGACGAACCTCCCCAAACGAACCATGGAAGTGGAAAAACGCAGCTTTGTAGTATAGAGGAAAAAGGGGCCATGCCATCCACTTTCATGATTGCTGGTGATGAAAAGATTCCAGTTGTGTCAACCTTCTTCACCAGTGTAAAGCACTTTCTTCAGAACCTGGAGATCCCTGGACTAGGTGAAAGAAGGAAACAACTGCCCCTGTGGCCGTGGCCGATCTTCACAGAAAATCCGACGAGACGAGACGGAGATCTTCCCCCAGCTGAACATGGACATGACAAGCTACTGGATGCCACAGCTTCCACTCGCATGGCGCACCCTGCTTCAGAAGGGCCGACGCTCCACCCTCATCTCGAGCCGACGCTCCATCCGTCGCTCATCCCTCCGGCCCCGACGCACTACCTCCATTCGACGCGCCGCGCGAAGGTCCGGCGCTCGGTCCTCCGCAATGGTCTCGGCCGCCTTCTTGGAGGTGCCGTGCCACAGCAGCATCTCATTGAGGCCCATTTGCATGTTCTCCACGCCTCGGTGCTTCCAGCACCCGACGTTGCTGGCGCCAGCAGCTGCGAGATATAGCTGGAACCCAACTAACTGACCCCTGCTTTGATAGGAAGTTGGGCCATATCTGGGGTGGTTGGTGGTCCAAAATAGAGGTCATTCAGGTTCCATTCGAGGTTTTTCAGCACCCGCCTGGGGGAGGGTGAAACCCAAGGCGGGTTTGAGGTGTCACTCTTCCGAATGCCCAAGATGATTGAAACATGAAGGTGAAGCCAGAACATTCCACTTCTTCTGGTTTCAGTGGGGGTTCGTGATTCCCCCACCGAACAAAATACCCAAAAAGGAAGGTGATTAAAACGAACTTCGCCATCTGCTCTGAAACCACTGGCCGAAGGGTGGTCCACTTTTCGGTCGGGTTGGATCTTCCAAAGCCGCTCGTGGAACTCTTGCCGGTCCGCAGCTTGTGGTGAATCGCGGAAGTAGTACGCGCGGTTTTCCATGCCCAAGCTTCTGATGGCTTCATCTCCATGGTTCTCCTTCAGGATCTTCCTTGCTGGATGTAGTGGCTGTGTATGCATGTGTGTGATAGATATACAGGGCCCCCCCTGTTTGGTGTGGTGAATGGATACCCAACCTCTAAGGAGGTCTAGTTAGACACACAGAGGAAAACCCTGATATATGAAAATAGTCTATATTTGTATAGATTACTGCATTTCCTTGTCACATGTTTTCATGACACATGTAAAACTCTCTTGCATGTTTATATGCATGTATATCATTATACATACTGTATAGCATTATACATCTGTGTGTTTGTGTCATTTTGTGTCTGGACAAGTAGTCACTTCCAGCCAGCACCATCCAATTCGGGTGCCTTTACAGACCTCCCCAAAACCCCATGGCTTCATATTGCTTGACCATCTAATAACTATCCGATAACCAGGGTAGTGCTGGTGGTGCTGTTTGAGGTCATGTTAGGTCTCACGGGAAACATACAAAACTGTCTAAAGATCTAAAGGAAAAGTAATAAAGAAAAAAGGATGTAAAAATCAAAAGGCAAAAAGAGTAGTCTAAAGGTCTAAAGAAGTTTGTTTTAAGGTCTCAAGGTGTAAAGTGTATAAAGATACTTTCTGAAAAAAAATACAAGCCATCTGAAGGCATTTAAAGAACAAATACAAAAAGATATAAAAAATGGTCTGAGTCCACTTCTCGGATCAAGTTCATTCCTGGGAACGAGTCAGATGCCTGTGACCGAGCCAGATGAAAGGGCCTATCAAGCAATGTTTGGTCTTCGAGGGCAACCGATGAACTCCGCTTAGACGAGCAACGGCTCAATTACCCAGATGGTGCTTCCCAGAGTGGAATATTATATAATATGATATTGAGATTGTTGTTACTAATAGCTTCTTGCTCCTAGTAGTAAGGCCAGGAGCCCCTAGTAGCGTCCTTGCTCCTTGGTAGCGATGCCAGGAGCCCTGAGTAGCTTCTTTGAAAGGTCTTTGGGATGGGTTCACCAGGAACTTGGTTTGAAGTCCCCTCTCTCTCTCTCTCTCTCTTTCTCTGCATGCACTCCATGAATCTGATTCTGCCAAACAAGGCCTCCTCTTTCCTCCCCCCCTCTCCAAAAAGATCTGGACCTCTGATCCTGACCGTCACTCTTCGACTCGTTTAGCAGCGCCCTTTCTTCGCGTCACCAGGCTGCTCCGTGAGCACGTGGCCGCTCTCAGGGTTCCCGTCCAACTCGTTGGGTGATTTGATCTTCGCGTCGCTCTCCTCCAACTGGCTCGCTAAGTTTCCTCAAGAGGTTGCAGAGGGGGTTTCAGACCGGAGGCCTCCAATGACCGCTCCAAACAGGTGGCTGAGGATCGAAGACTGAAGACTGAAGACTGCGATTCGAATGTGGCATCTGGATTCAACAGGTCTCTACAAGTCCGAATATCTCCGCATCAAGACTCCGAATATCTCGGAATCAAAATGTGGAAGGGGGTTTCATCACCTGTTTGTGGAGGACAATGGTCATGCAAGGGGCCATGCCATTCACTTCCATGAGGGCGTTTTAGGATGTTTGAGGGCATTTTAGGGAGTGATTCCGCATCTGTTTCTTTGCATCTGCGCATCCCATCGCATCCGAACAATGACTTCTCCAGCCGAACCAATGGGCAGCTCATGTCCGGTGAACTTGCTACCACCGGCCACCCAAACCGCCAGTGCCTAGCTGTTTAACTCTGGCCACGCATCGCTTCCAGTTGATGTAACCTCGGCCCAAAAGGATCCGTTGCCGAACCAAAGCCCCCCAGGACCGCCGATCTCCGCGACTCGGACCCCTTCCCCCAGTTCTGGCCAGCTCCGGTGTCGAAGCGGAAGCATGAAGCTGTGGATGCATGTGGATGCATGTGGGAAAAACGGGAGAAAACCAGAAAAACACCATGTGTTTCCCCCCTCGAATGCAGGAACACATGTGGCGGCCATGTGTTTCCCCCGAACTCGCAGGGCCGCAGGGCCTCGCAGGGCATGGAATCAACACACCCGTTTGGCGGCCGAACGCAGGGCCTGGCTACACACCTGCGTCATGCCTCGGAGCACCTGCCTATGCCTCACACCTCCACGTCCACGCGCACGTGAGAGAAGGTTTGCCCATGGGCAAAGAGTTGTCTGAAAAGGGTTTGCTGGGGGGATTCATGTAGACTCTTGATGAATAAATTCACCCATTTGACTTGCGAATCCTCTTCATAAGGGGGGGGTAAATCAAGACTTCAGGAGTCTGGGATCGGAGTCTGGTCGAAGGCATCGGCAGGTCTGGTCACCCAATCTGCACCACGTGTCAAGCAACGACACCAGAGTGAGGAGTCCTCCACTCGGCGCACTTTATTGACCTGCACCGGCGGGGCACCACCGACGGGGCGGTGGGATGGAGCCAAGCCCCGTCGGGGCGAAGGTTCGCCATCGCAGAAAGCGGCCAACCACCCCGGGGGCCCTGAAACTCCTTGGATGTGGAGCAACCCCCCAGCCTGACCTCCATGGATAGCACCCCAACTCCATGGAACTGCTGGTGTCGTTCTTTTCTTGATACACCATGGCTCCATCTGGGCACAGCGTTCCAGCAACGAGGTCCCGGCTCTGTGGAGCTGGCAAATTGGGCCAAGTAAGTGAGTGTACTGCCTCAAAGATGTCCCTACCCTAAGAATCCAGGCCCTCAAGCATAAAATAGAGGGCCCGGACCCCTGCCCAAGGATTCTTAGGGTAATGTGATTAAAAGCCCCTTTTTCATGTGGGGGTATTATGAATCAAGAGTCTACAGTCTACATTAGTTATATAATGAGTACCAACCGGTAGCCCAAGCAAAGGCCCAAAGAAATATGCAAAAGAATCCACCTTCTGCACCTCTCCTACTCTCCCTTCCCTGGCCCCCTCTTCTGGCGGCACCCTCCATGCCAAAGACTGACTCCCGAGCCTTCGCATTGAAAAGAGAAGGTTCACCGTACTGTCCATCTATTCCATCTGTTCATCCCCAATCCCCAAAACAAAGGAGTGCAGCTGATCCACCCACTTCCTGCGGTCGTTTTTTCTACCCCCCGGGTCCCGTCAAAGAAAACGGTCCCCGTGTCCGCGGCTACGGAAAGAGTTTGTCCGCACCTTGACTGGGTTACGGCAGGTGCCCTCGGCCAACCTCTGAATGAGATCCTTGATCTTGTGCTTGACCACCTGGGACTTCTGGCGAGTTCGGCGGCATTCGGCCCCGGATCAGAGTCAGTCAGATGGGATGAGGATTCGATCTGACTGAAGCCGACCCAAACACCACAGCGACTCGACATCATCCCATATCATTCCCCCCTGCCATCTACGAAACAACAACAACAACAACAACAACAACAACTACTACAACTACAACTACAACTACAACTACAACTACAACTCTATATCATCCTCCCTGTCCGTGGCTCGAAGCGAGCCCCCAACCGAAGTCGAAGTCTCAAAATCGAGCTCACCCAAGATGATCTCGCCACCCGCACAGAATCGCCCCCCAGCGCCTATCTCAATGATACATAGGACCCGGACCGCGAAAAGGATGTGTCCGCGCCAAGGAGTCACAAAGGGGGGGGTGGCTCGTCCCATCCAGTGGATGTGACGTTCGGGCACCCCGAGGACCTCCATGGATAGCACCCCTAACCTCCAACTCCCGGTATACATGCACTTATGTTTGCATAAGACGAAAGCCTGAGAGCTCTCAAAACCACGACATGTCTACCTATCTACCTTGACTGGAGATGCCTTTTCGTCGAGCGGGGCCGGTCGAGCGGAGGTCGGTCGGTGTTGGAGTACCGCCCAGCGGCCCAATGTTCTCGAAAGCCTTCGGTGTAGGGATTCCTCAGTGAGGTGGAGGCAACCCATCCAGAAACCACCTGCAGATGGTTGGGAAATGGCGTGGGAAGCTGTTTGGATTCGATATCTTTTTCAAAATGAGAGGTTTTGGGTGGTTTCCCATGGATCTTGGTTGGATTTGCTGTTAGCTTGTGAGCAGTTTTATGGCGGGAAGCTGAAATCGGTTCGACAATGCCATCGGAGCAAGAACCCTCTTGCCTGAAACCACGCGAGGGGTGTTAGGACCTTCTCCAAGTTCGTGGGTTTGTTGCGATTTCCGACTTCCGACATACATGCAGCGTCGTGTGGGTCTTGGTGCAAGGTGAGAATCTTCCCCACATTCTTCCAGTACAAGGGAAGCTCCAGCAAGAATGGCAGATCCTCTCGAGGGGTTGTGGCAACTCCTCCGTGGACGCGCTCATAGATCACCAAGTATTCGGGATAGACCTGCGGGAAGCCGCAGCAAAGGAACGAAAGGAACCAGAGCCACCTGACAAGTCTTCGCAGTTTCTTTGCCGCATCCCGTTTTCTTTTGGATTCTGTACTTCGACTGCGGGACCTCAAAGGTTCCGTCGCTGGTTCTTGAGCTCCGGCTTGCCAGCTCACGATTTGACTGGGACAACATACATGGACCCTCCAAGGGGTGCCCAATGGAAGACTACAGGTAGTGTGGGGTAGTCCATTGGACACCCCTTGAAGTCCTGGTAGATTGCTCATAATTTTTAATTTCTCCCTCAGCTGTCGCAAGCACAAGTTGTCATTCTGCCGCATGCTCCTGAAACCGGCGACAACTCCATGACCCACCAACATCCGTAAAGCACAAGCAACGAAAAACCACCCATGGACGATGGTCATCGGCCTGGTCCGCATCGTAAACCACGATCTCCCGGTAGGTGTTCACTGATTTGGCGCGGTCGCCCAGGGTGCTGTCCTCAGTTGGCGGCGTGGTACCGAGGAATCAGAAATACATCTCCCCAGCAAGGGGAAGCCATGGTCCAGTAAAATTGCTGTATATACACTCCTTCAAACAATCATGGAAGTGGATGGCATGGCCCCTTCAATGACCATTTTCCGAATCAACGGTGACAGGTGGTGGAGTGTGCGCGGATATACCCTCCATCCAACGGTCGTGGATGTGGTAAACCACCTGTTTCTGGAGGAAACTCACCTTTCAATTCGGACCTTCGGATCATTCAGCTACCATCAAGCATAAAGCCAAATCCAGTCCCATAGCCCAATGTGTGTGAGCGCGCGTTTGCACTTGCAGTGTCCACACGCGTAACGATGTAAAGCATGTAAGAACATCTTGAACACTAAGAACATCTGAACACATACCCCACGATTTTACTTCCACCACAACATCATTCCGCCACTTGGGAATTCCATACCCTGCCCCACGTCGAACACACCTTGTTCCTCTCTCCCCTTCCCTCTCGCATCAAGTCCCTTCCGCTGACCAGGTCGCCGACTCCCCAGCGGTGTACTTGTCAATGGCCTTCGGCTCGCGATCCTGCCTGGAGGCCCCCGGGGCCGGATGTCGCAGGTGGCAGCAGGTGGCAAGGTGTCGGACGTGCCGGGAACCGAACCATCGAACTTCCAATTGAAGGATGAAAACCAAACACGGATTGCAAAACCGATGACGCAACATAGAATCTAG